ACATCACCAAGAACAACCTAAAACCCACTTCCATCCCACAAGTCAATATGTGCTTGTTGAATTCAGGAAGTGGGTTTTGCTGTTTCAAGTACACTTAATACCTGTTTGTTGCTGCACTACAGAACATCGCTGCATTCCCTCAGCCAAACAGTCAATTGTTTGTGTTGGAGCAGAGATGTTAACAGCCAACTTGTGCCTATCAGTCAGAATCTACTATGGTTGGCTGAAAAAACACAGGGAAGCACCAGCAGTCTTCCAGCAAGGAGCTGCATGGCAAGACACAGAGCTAGCAGGTGTTTTATAGAGACCATGGCAGGCTCAACAAGTTGAGCTTTTCCTTGTCATGATATGCAGTGGCAGAGGAGGCCAGCTACAGCCACCGCTTGAAAAGACAAAGGGGAAATCAGCCAACTTCCTCAATATTTTGGTACTAACAAAGCAACACTTGCCACAGAAGAGTTCCTGGAGAGGATCAGAGCCAGGAAAGAGTCAGCATGGTGCCAGGAGAGGAGCATAACAGGACAAAAATCAGTGGCAGCAAATGACTTGGGTAATGAAGACCTTGCTTTGGGGTTGCTGCCTCACTGCGTTCTTGGGTCTGTTTTGTTCATTTGCTTTTAAACACTGCCCTTTCCCCTAAGCTCAGGAGACAAGTTAACTCCTGCCCACCTTCATAGGTGCCCATCCTTACCTATGGCACGGCACGCACCTGGGAACAGGCAGCAGCGGGACTGGAGTGCCACCTCCTGGCAAGGAGCAGGCAGTGCTGCCTCATCTCCTTGGAGCTGGGCAAGGAGAGCACACACACCACCAACACACAACCTCCTGGTGCTCCAGAGCCCCCACGCCGTCCCCATTGCTGCTTCTCCTTCCCATGTCCTCACCTAGTTCATGGACCACTTAGAAGAGGCAAGAGAAATGACATAGTGTAATCCCACGCAGGGATGAACAGCATGGCTTTTGGCAGGTTGGCTCTGGAGCAATCAGATGGGACAAGGACCACAGCCATTCCTGAGGTCACACAGTTCCCCACATCTTCTCAGCAACGTGCCCTGGGTCAAGATCTGAGCACCCTCCAAAAACAAGCACAAAAGTCACCTGCTGATCAACTCAAAACCACCCCAGAGGTCCAGCAGAACATTCATGAAGGAGAAAGCGTGACTGGTTCTCAAATGCTTGATCCACCTCCTGCCACCAGTCATCTACATCCTGGTCACTCTCAGTGAGATGGTACCCAAGTGTTTAATGGGCCTCAATGAGCCTGTCTTGTGCGAGGTTATCCAACATTTCTAAGAAGCCAAAAACCGTACGTACATACAAAGGTATCCGGTAGCAGTGAGTTTCAGAGCTGAACTGGACATACTACAAGACATTTCCTTCCATTTTAAGCCAGACACACCTCCAGAAATACCTCCTGCAATCCCACTCGATTTTAAAAATTTCTGTTCACAATCCAATGCCTCTCTCTCAAGAGCGTCCCAGTGAACTCAAGCTTTCTTCCTGCAGAAGCCAGCTCTGCTCAGACTTTCCATACCTTTCTACCATTTTGTATTTCAATTTGTATTTCAATGCAGCCTGTACAGTTTTAGCACATGGACACATTCAGTTGAGTACAATTTCTTCTTCTGACCACCTGGTGCCTCACTGGCCCTGAGCTGTCTACCAGGAGTGGTCTTCACCATTTCCTCCTTGAGTTTCATTAACTACCCTAAAAGAAAGGAGTGGGAAATAGTCATGCTTAAAAGGCAAAGGTAAATCACCCCATCATGCCTATCTGTGTGCCCAGCCACAGTGGAAGGTCAAGTGGCACAGTCTTGTCCCAGCATTGTCTAGGGTAGGCAGAATGACACGGTACCTCTGCTGCTGCACCAGCACAACATCCCCAGTGCTGCCCACATCCTTTGGCCTAACATCTCTATGACACTGCCCATATACAAGCCTGGCTTAGATGAAGGCTACTGGCACAAGTGTCCACCGCCAGCCTCCGAACAGAGCTGTTCTCCACTCCAACTATTTGGGTCATGCATGGGAAGCTTCACACTGTCAGCAGGACAATAATCCCTGAAACTTCTGCCCCCTACGCTAAACCATGACCCACTACAACCCACAGGACAGTTTCAGGGTACAGAACACAGCCTAGAAGGCAGCCTGAGAAGTCATATCTAAGTCTATCCTCTTTTCTACTAGCCCTATCACTAAATATGTTAGGATTATCAAGAGAAGATATTAAGATCCACTGGGCAAAACCAGCACCCTCTCCAAACTCCTTGTGTTTCACTGTCCTCATTCTTTTGTTTTAACTTGTCTGTAGTGTCATTAGAAGTTATTAGAGCTTCTATTACACTGACAGTGACTCCCACCTTGGACCAGATGAAGCTGATAACACCTTCATATTTCATCAATACTCCATTAGTGTGATGAGTGCAGACCCAGAGGAGACCCCTCCATCAGTGGTGCAGCGGAACCGTGCCAAAACACAACTCAACACTTGGACTTCTTGCACAAAAAGCTCCGCAAGACAGTGGAGACACTTCATGTACGAAAACAGCTTTTTCTTGCTTCAGCTTTTGCCTTCCTCTAGGCAGCACTGCAGACAGTGGTATTAAAGCAAATCTTGTGGGTAAAAAGGAAAAGAAGAGATGAGTGAAGGCAACTCAAGGAAGAAACATCCTGTCTGGAATGATATCAATATATTCAAGAAGAGATTATGCAGTAGGCAATAAATACAGATATCTGCACAGAACTGTGTTTTGTTATAGAGAACTCATCAAAATCAGAGAGACAGAAGCAGAACAAGATCAAAGTTAAATCAAGTTGAGGGCAAAACACCAGTTTTAAAGTGAAGTCGTTCAAACAGCTGTGAGAACCAGCCTATCAGATTACACGAGATGTTTAAGGTCTTCTGCACAACTGGAAGTATACACTGGATAAAGGTCAATAGGACTGGTGTAACAGGAAACTGGATTTCCACAGCCATTCATATGTAATCAGGGCAGGCATGGTCTGAGACCTTTCAGTTCATCTTTTCCACACACTGGTTTTTGACATGAGACTGTTACGGAACAGCAAGGTTTTAAAGTCTGCAAGATACTCATGTGTCCTGCCCAGACTCTTGCCTTTAAAAAGATATGACAGAAGCTAAAAGAAGAGACCATAAGCGATTACTATGATACTTCCATAGAGACTAGACATTTCCATAAACCTGTAGGGCAGCAAAGGAAAAGCATCAGTGAAGGACAAACTGCCAAATATTGCCAGGCTCAAACAGTACTGATGTCTTTACAGCAAATTAAAGACAGGAAAAGAGGTGTTTTGAAAGTTAAGTTAATTATTTTACGTTTGAAAGAACAGACGAGATTGTTCCATACAACTAAGATGATAAGCTAGAAACCAATTCATCCATTGCAAACACTGCTGCAAAATGAGGGCTTGGTAAAGCCTTGCCGATGTCTTGCTCCATATCTGTAGCCAGATACCAAAATTCAATGATTTTTGGTAACAGGCATATAAGAAAAACCTATTTCTTAGAAAACAGGAAAGGCTTAAAAGACAGGCAGCTTTAGCACAGTGACCCAGAAAATAACAGGTATGAGCCACTGGGTTAGAAAAATGAGATAATGTTATTGTTCAGATATAGGAAGGACAGAACAGGAAGGAATACAGCAGAGAGACAAGTCTTTAATCAATATTTGCACATGCAGGAGATGCCACAGATAGGCCAAAATTTTAAATCTTTTAATCGACCACAAAGGCCTTTTTACATCATTCTGCACCGTTCAAAAATCTCTAGGTGGCAAGCAAGATAACACACACACACAACTGCCAAAAATGCAAGATTAAACACCGCTTGCCACAGTGCCTGTGATGAGCCCAAGCTCACTATATCAAATAAATGAATGCTCATGTATCAGCTGTCCAACTCGAGAACACAGTACAACCTTCTTCTCAGAGATGCCAGTTAAAGTCATGTTCTCCTGAACCAGAAATTCCCTTTTGTCCATGATGCATCTCCTTACACATTAGAGAAGGCCACTGGCTATGCAGTTTTCAAGCCAAACTAGAGCTTACAGCAACACAGACTAAGGAAAGGAAAAAAGGCAATTTTACTTCTATGTTTCAGATGCAAACTAGCACAACTGGTATGTCACCAAAGCTAGCAATCTCATTTATTACCAATTAAAACAAGAGCAGCACAAATGGAAGCAGAGGGTTGTGCAAAACCACTAGGAGAAGATACTTGCACATATCTGTGCTATTTCAAGCTTTTCACATCAGCTGAACCTGCTGTGGAAGCACGCATGCCCTGTGTCTTTTCATGCACTGACAGAGACATGCTGAGGCTGCTGCAGCTCCGACTTTCCCTGCTGCAGCTCCGACTTGCCCTGCTGCGCATTCTAGACCCTCCCTTCCCCTAGTGCTGGTGTTCACTGGATCCCACTGAGCTGGCTGAGAAAAACAAATCAGTCAAAAATTAACCCCAAAAGTGAAAAGCTGTTCAATTTTCAGCCAGCTCAAGTCCCTGAACCAGTTTGTGACAAGGTCAGAGGAAGGCCTACAGCACCTGGGGTGGGATGGCAGGATCACAGCAGCCCTGATGAAGGCTGATAGACCTTGGTGGGTCAGAACTAGGAGGCAACTGCTGTCATGCACATGTATGGCATGTTTTGCAGCAGGATGAATTTTAAAAAAAACAGGAACATTGAACACAAGGGACAGAGGTAAATGACAGCTCTGATAGAGACTGAACCAATTCTGCAATGGAAGGCAGCTAAGGATCTGTGCTAAGGAAGCATGCACACCCTGGGAGCAGAAGCGTTTAACAACATAGTGATACTGTGCAGCTGGTTTGAGACCTCCAGATACAACCAACACAGTTTCATTCAAGAAGCTGCGGAAAACATAGCAGCTGTAAGGCTGAGTGTGGAAAGCTGGTCTGAGAGCCCTCAAGTCTGGAAGAGCACCAATGTTTCAAATGCTCTTCATGAACAGTGCATACTCACGTGATGAAGTCCAGAAAACTTGCTAGTGGCTCATATGCATGGTTCCTCATGTGACGAAACTCCACGACCATCTTCTCCTTCAGCTTGTCGTCTATGACGGAGACGGTGAGCGGGGAGGCTTCATTGGCCAGGAAGTTCCCATAGTCTGTGCTCTGGAGGTGCAGTTTCAAGTCTGAAAAACAAAGAATAATTCCACTCTACAGGGTGTGTGTTGGGTTTGGGGTTTTGTTTTTTTTTTTTGAGCATACTTAACACAGCTGTTGCTCAGCACTTCTCTAGGCATTCTCTTCTCTGAAAGATCACCTAGACAAAACCTATGTGTTAAGTCTTACACTTATATTTGCTCAGTTTTATCATGGACAACCCAAATGCAGGAAAAGATCAGTGTTTCACCATACCAGCCTTGCCCCATCTTAAGGAGGAAACTGTGACACTATCTGCATAACTGAGCACACATCTGTTTTAGCTGTCCACTATGCTTGATCAAGGTGGAGGGTTATTGATTTTCTAGGAAGTATTTGCTAGAAATCGGG